TCCCCAGTGGCACGGCGCCACGCAAACGCACTTCCCACCAAGGCCGCGCAAATCCCAATGACACTGCGACATCACGAACATACTTTGGCCACACGGTCTGTCCACACGCTAGAAGCTCACACGATACCGCGAATGATCCCGCTCAGGCACAGCGACATCACGAACGTAATTTCGCCATACCGTCTGCCACTTCTGACTCCAGCTCTGAAAGGCTCTTGCCCGCACTACATTTGCACTACAAACTGGCCACTCCTGAGTCCAGCTCCAAAAAGCTCTTTCCAGTACAAACTGGCCACTTCTGAGTCCATCTCTGAAAGGCTCTTTCCCGCACTACATTTGGACTACAATCTGGCCACTTCTCACTCCAGCTCTGAAAGGCTCTTTCCCGTACTACATGTGTACTACAAACTGACCACTTCTGAGTCCATCTCTGAAAGGCTCTTTCCCGCGCTACATTTGGACTACAATCTGGCCACTTCTCACTCCAGCTCTGAAAGGCTCCTTCCCGTACTGCATGTGTACTACAAACTGACCACTTCTGAGTCCAGCTCCAAAAAGCTCTTTCCCGTACTACATTTGTACTAGAAACTGGCCACTTCCGCAAAGGGTTGCGCCGGAACCGGACAAATCGCACTCTCGCCTGCATTTCGCGCCCTCGACGCGCACGATCTCCGCAGAGGGTTGCGCGCGCGCCGGACAAATCGCATTCTCGCCTGCATTTCGCGCACTCGACACGCACGATCTCCGCAGAGGGTTGCGCGCGCATGGGCAAAATCGCACTCTCGCCTGCATTTCGCGCACTCGACGCGCACGATCTCCGCAGAGGGTTGCGCGCGCATGGGCCAAATCGCAATCTCGCCTGCATGTCGCGCACTCGACGCGCACGATCTCCGCAGAGGGTGGGGCAAATCGCACTCTCGTCTGCATTTCGCGCACTCGACACGCACGATCTCCGCAGAAAGTTGCGCGCGTGGGACAAAGCGCGCTCTCGCCTCATTTCGCGCACTCGACACGCACGATCTCGGCAGAAGGTTGCGCGCGCGCCGGACAAATCGCACTCTCGCCTGCACTTCGCGCCCTCGACGCGCACGATCTCCGCAGACGGTTGCGCGCGTGGGACAAATCGCACTCTCGCCTGCATTTCGCGCACTCGGCACGCACGATCTCCGCAGAGCGTTGCATTTTCGGTTGACGCTGTTCGTCCCACCCTCCGCCTTTAAAGAGAATTTTTAAAGTGGGGGAATGGTTTTCAGTAGGATATCTCCCGTGAAAGTTTTTCATACTTACACTTGCATACTTACACTTGCGTGCTTACACTTGGATACTTACACTTGCACACTTGCACTTGGATGCTTTCACTTGCAAACTATTAGGATATCTCCTGTGAAAGTTTTTCATACTTACACTTGCATGCTTACACTTGGTTACTTACACTTGCACACTTGCACTTGGATGCTTTCACTTGCAAACTTTCACTTGGATACTTCAGTGCCACTATACGTATAGAAGTGTAAAGTGTTCAAGTGTAAGTATAGAGGTGTAAGTGTTCAAATGATTTTCCGGAAGAACCCTTCGCAATGCTTTCGGGAAAAAAAGAGGTTTGGAAAACACGGAGTGAAAAAAAAACACACACCTTTTTAGTTCATGTCACTTCATGTTGCTGGACGTAAAAAGACCATGTTGCTTCATGTTACCTTTTTTGTTGTCCTTTCCATGATCTTTTTATACTTCATGTTACTTGATAATTTTACGTCCATATTTCATGAGAAGGACCCTGACTCCACCGCGCAGTGCGCCAGCAGACACAGCCGCCCGAAAGTGTGACAAGCAGAAAAAATACGCAGCCAGTGGTTCAGTATTGGGAGAAAATATTGACATCCAGGAGAACCTGCCAGACATGGTGGATGCATATTGCTTATTATAGTTCGAACCAAAATACCATTAGATATTAGATACCCATGTTACTCAAATTCTCCAAAATGCTCACCCAAAAGAGTCTATACAATGTCTATATCCACCAACCACATCTCCAAGTCCAAGCGCCACGTCTCACTCCACTTCTTCCCCCTCCAAGCCTTCAAGGCGGCTGGGCCACTGGGCCGACGTGCCTTGATGCACGAAGAGAACAGCGGCTCCGTTCGGAAGCCGAGTGCGACAGCGCGGTCAGGCCAAGCGGCGTTTGGCGATCGCTAGACCGGGAGAGCTCCGTTCCCCCAAATCGTCATCCTTGCAGGATCATTGGGATTCTTTTTGAAGCAGCACACACTATAATTAAGGGCCTATAGGGTCTTAGAAGGATCATTTTGGTGGTCAATTTGAAGTCCTGACTGATGGATGGCTGTTGCATGGCTCAGTGGCGGCTTCGGTTTTGGGACTGAAAGACCTTCATGGTTGCTGCCCAACTCATTGGAGGACCCAGTTAAGCTCGTTGAAGCTGGCGAAGGTGGCCCAAAATGATTGAGCAACCAGACGGGAGGGTCATTTCATGGTCATATCTTGTTTTAAATCAACGACTCAGAGGCCAGGTATGACTGCTGAGTTGTTGAGGTTTGGTCCTTGCGGGGCAAACCAGTGACCCCCACATCAAATGTCCGATGATGCATTAGCTTGGTCCGCTGCTTGCGGACGTCGAGGCTCGACCGGAACATGAAGGCAGCACCAAACGCTGCGTGCTCGGCTATGGCTCACGAGCGTAGCTAACAAATCCCGACGCCTCCATTCAACAAATCTCTGATGCAATCAGGCACCTGCAGAATGCATAATCACGGGAACACTGCGCTTTAGAGCAAAACTCCTTAGACCTTTCTTGAGTGTGGTTGCGACCCGTCAACTTGTTTGACCTCAATATTGGGTTAAGGGTTCCCTTTGGGTCAGCTTCTTTCAGCTTCCAACTCACCAACGCCGACTCAAGACCATTGCAGACTCCCCAAACACCGACAGAGACAGCCCTCCGTCGCCATCGGCGCCCGAGCGCCCGAGCGCCATGCGTCTCTTCTTGGACTTTGTGGACTCCGACCCCGCCACCGCCGCCGCGGCCGTCGAAGCGATGAACTGCGCCGGCGTGGCCGGGACAGCGGCGGTGTCGATGCGAGTGTTCCAAGGAGCGGTGTGTTGAGATGAAAACACACAGACACTCTGCAGGTCATTGTTGTTTTCGTGGAAGTGGAGTTCACATGCGTTCACCAGCTGTTTGCAATTCTAAAATTGGTAATCCGAAATCGGGGCCATGCCATCAGAAATTTCAGGGAGTGTAGAGTGTAGTCATCCAACTTCCACGTTGATGGCGTTGGGGGTCATCATGCAATTCTGGCACCGTCGTACACAAATGCCCAATTCTAATTCTAGTATTAAGAAAGATATCTTATGTAAGAGTCTTTTAAATATATTTATATGATAGCTTCTACCATCTCATACCTTTAGTGAGCTCTTTCGCTACGTGGCATCTCATGAAACATTGAAAGGACTCTTCATGGACGTGGTTTCGGACCTCAACGGCGAGCACACACGGGAAGTCACGCGACGAGGTGACACGAGCGGCGCGACGCAAGCGGCGCTCAGAGTGTGGTCAAGCAGGGAATCTGATGGGGCAAACGGAATCTGATCAGTTTTGCCGCCTCCAACCTAAGAGCGATAGCCTCCACCCTAGTAGCGATGGCCTCCGACCTAAGAGCGATGGCCTCCTGCTTGTGGGAATGCTGATTGATTGGACAAGGACCCCTCCTCGGAGATTCATGAAGAGGTTCATTCACCAACAGTACAATTAGATGCTGGGACTTGGTTTCCCAAGGTAACCGTGTTGAGGCTCTGTCTCTCGGTCCGTGAGTGTTTTGAGAGAAAGGTCAGATCGAGACATGTCCGAACCCAAGGAAACGCTGCCAGCATCCGAAAGCTATCCTGTCTTTCAAGCATCCATAGAAGCTTTGAGATGCTTTGAGAGGCTGCTTCTGTCAGTTGGATTTGGAGTTTCAACTGACAGACCCGGCTGTGGAGGTGGCTCTGGAGGATCTGGCAGCGCGGGCAGCGCCAGTAGCGCCGGAACCGCTGCAGTTCCGGCGCCGCCGGCGCCGACGGAAGCCGCGGCGCCGCCGAAGGCTGCGCCACGGTTCCTAATCTTTGGCGCCAACAGCGCGGGGATCGCATCAGGCGCTTTGGAGGGTGGAAGAGTGGTGTGGGTGGTGTGGATGGTATGGGTAGCTGGACGGTGGCATTGAAAGTGGTATGTAACAAACTATAATACAAAAAAGATCAAAGAAGTCCTCTTGAAAATCATTCAACTTGCATAGACCTCCTCGAGATCTTCGAACAAGGAATCGACCTCGGCCTTTTCGGAGGAAACCTGCAGAAGTCCATTCTCGCTGCCTTCCCGGAGCACTTCGCTCAGCTCCAGCGCATAATGCGCTCGCGGGACCCCGACCAAGCCAATGGTGAGGCTCCCAGGGTAGGGGGCGCTCTACTAGCGATGGCCTCCAACTTACTAGCGGGGGGCGCTCTTGGGGGCATTGGGAGGTGCCCTCCAGATCGAAAGCTCGAATCCTGATGGCAGCATAATGCCAGCACTCGAAATTGATGAGGGCAAATTGACGTCGGCGTGGTTGCAAAGTCGCGGATTCTTTTGAAGCATTGCTGGTGCAGCCGACCACCCGCCGGCACCTGTGTGAGAAAATGGATACTCCAAACTCCAACCTTTGTTTTTGGGTGGTCTTGAAAAGGTGAAGCCTGTCAAGTGAGATGCTGTAGGGATGGTGCAGTCTGCAGGGCCTGCAGGGCCTTCAGCCTGTTGTTCTTCTCTCAGACCTCGATGAATGCCAGGTCTACATCAGTGGTGAAGGAGATCTTTGGCCGCGCTGCCCAGTAGCCGCGAGGTGACGCGTGACCACCAGCCGTGACTGTCTCTGAACCCTCTGCGCGATTTGCACCCCTCGCACATACCTCCAACCTACTAGCAAAAGGAATGTAATAGCAATGGCCTCCAACCCACTAGCAATGGCCTCCAACCCACTAGCAATGGCCTCCAACCTACCAGCAACGGCCTCCAACCTACCAGCAATGGCCTCCACACACTAGCAATGGTCTCCAACCTACAAGCAACGGCCTCCAACACACTAGCAATGTTCTCCAACCTACCAGCAATGGCCTCCAACCCACTAGCGATGACTAGCAATGGCTTGCAACCTACTAGCAATGACCTCCAACCTACGTACGAGAAATGGCCTCCAACCCACTAGCGATGGCCTCCAACCCACTAGCAATGGCCTCCAACCTACTAGCAATGACCTCCAACCTACGAGCAATGGCCTCCAACCTACGAGCAATGGCCTCCAACCCACTAGCAATGGCCTCCAACCTACCAGCAATGGCCTCCAACCCACTAGCATTGGCCTTCAGCCTTCTAGCAATGGCTTCCAACTTACTAGAAATGGCCTCGAATCTACTAGCAACAACCTACTAGCAATGGCCTCCAACCTACTAGCAATGGCTTCCAACCTACTAGCAATTGCCTAAAACGTACTAGCAATGGCCTCCAACCTACTAGCAATGGCTTCCAACCTACTAGCAAATGGCCTCAATTGCCTCCAGCCTACTAACAATGGCCCCCAACCTACTAGGGATGGCTTCCAAGCTGCTAGCAATGGCCTCCAACCTACTAGCAATTGCCTCCAACTTATCAGCTATGGCCTCCAACGTACTAGCAATGGCCTCCAACCTACTTGCAATGGCCTCCAACCTGCTAGCAATGGCCTCCAACCTACTAGCAATGGCCTCCAACCTACCAACCGTGGCCTCCAACCTGCTAGCAATGGCCTCAAACCTACTTGCAATGGCCTCCAACCTGCTAGCAATGGCCT